TTATTTAAATATTATGTAAGAATATAATATTTATATATATATATATAATTTCTTATAATATATAGTTTAATATAACAAAATAAAAACTATAAAATGATTAAAAGTCGAGGCTAAAATTTGAGTCTATATTCTTAAGACAGATTCGCCCCGCTATGGTGCTAACGGACTCAGTGACGTCTATTTCCCAAGATACAACGACTTGTCTTCCTTCTGTAGTAGCATTGTAAACCAAAGGAATAGGCGAACCGGCTCGGAGTAGTACTCTCTGACTCGAACTCACTAACTAAGGCTCGAACCCACAGACTAGGGCTCGAACCAAGAGACTAGAAGAAGAGAGAAGGATGAGAGAATACAGAATTAGAGAAGAGGATTCTGAATTGGTATGATTTGCAAATGATCCAAGGGGGGTATTTAGAGGTAGCAATGTGCCTTTTTCGGGTATGTACAACCATGGGTTATGATGGTTCAGAAACAAGTGCAACCCTTTGGAAAAAAAAAAAAACTAAAAGGTGGTTTTAATTTAAATTAAAAAAACTAATTTTTAATTTTAATTCAAATACCAACCACCCATTTGTGAAACCCATTTAAATAAGCCCAACCCAAAAATAGGCCCAATCCAAAATTCCATTTAGTAAAAAGAATAACCGGATTTTACAATTAGGCCTAGGCCCAAGCCCAAGCCCAAGCCCAAGCCCAAATCCTAAACTTGGCTTATTTAAACTTCAATTGGTTTCAACATTTTTTTCATGTAGGACAAACACTTCCCACATTTTACATACCCATTTAGGCTTATCAAAATACCACACTTTGGAGCAAATTTCTCATTCACCAAGAAACGGATTTGAGAAAGTAAATATACCATGTTCATCTCCTTGCGGAGAGAAACGAGCTCGTCTATAGATCTGCAAAAAATTCTTAGCGAAATCTATTCCAAATCTCATCCAAAGTTTATATTTTTAATGCCCCCGGTTCCAATAATCCCCCACATGAATGGAAATTTATGTAAAATGCAAATGAAGAAGATACGAACACTAGAGAGAGCATTATTGGAAAGTTACTACATCGGGATAGATAGCTTTTGGCCTTGAACCTTCCCTAGTGTATATTACTATCGGATTTACTGGTTAACTAGTGAACATGATGTCTTGAACAGTTTAACCATTGATGTAAACCAAGACAATAACAAATACACAGTTCCTTCCCGCATAAAGTCGGTTATCATGGTTGTATTCATATGGCCCTGAATAACTCCTAATATTTCATAAGTGCTCTAGAAAACTTAACCTTAGAAGTTCTTATAGAAGTAGCCCCACTTCACATTCATATAGATGACTTCTTATTAAGAGTATCCTACTATACCCCACTTGAATTTTTAAGGTATAAGAGTTATTAAAAGTATAGCTTATCTTACTCATCGCTATAGGTAGTACTGTTTTATCATAGTAATGGTAGAAGATTTAATCTTTCCAATATTTCTAGTGAGCCATTCAGAATTTCTGTCGTCCTTTTGAACTTAGATCTTGGGATCTCCGTCAACTAGGTTGGGTTTCCATTAAAGTGACTCGTTAGCTTTCGGCTTTAATCCCATTCCCCTCGATGAACTATACAATTGCTCTCTTGTCAAACCTTTTGTAAATGGATTTGCTAAATTATCTTTTGACCTGATATAATTTATTGAGATTATCCCATTTGAGAGTAATTGTCTAACAGTATTATGTTGCCAACATATATATCGAAACTTATCGTTAAGCGTATTACTTTGTGCCCTTCCAATTGCTGATTGACTATCGCAATGTATACATATAGCGGACACAGGTTTAGGCCAATTTGAAATATCTTTTAAGAAATTACGAAGCCACTCAACTTCTTCACCAGCTTTATCCAAATCAATAAATTCAAATTTCATAGTAGATCTGGCAATACAAATCTGTTTTAAAGATTTCCAAAATATGGCACCTCCTCTAATAGTAAAGACATAGCCACTTATGGATTTAGAATTCTTCGTATCTGATATCCAATTAGCATCACTGTAACCTTCAAGTACTACTGGATATTTAGAATAATATAATCCATAACTTAGGGTATATCTTAAATACCTTAGAACCCTGATTATTGCAGTCCAATGGTTCTTTCCTGGATTCACTACAAGAAAAATGGATTTTAACGACATGTGATTCAAGTCATTATAGGGTTTTAACGACATGCATACGCATGCTCTTACTGAAGAAGCCGTGAAAAGTCAATATTATACATGACTTGCTTTACAAGTAGTTAATTCTAAAATGTGACGTCGTTAAACAACTAAATGACTGTCGCTTTAAAACATTTACAACTCTTCCCATCTGTTGTTAATACGCACTTGTTTAACGACGTGTTTTGGAAGTCGTTAATGCATACATTAACGACATGCAAAGCATGCTTTGTTAATATCTCTACTTTGACAGCATGTATTGCATGTCGTCAAAAATGATTTTTTTCTTTTTTTTAAAAAAATTATATAGAATCCTTTTTCTTTCTATTGATACTAACAATCTATGTCTACCACCTGCGTTCAAATATCATAAAGGATGACAGTTTTCAATGTGATATAATCATATATGTATATATTAGTGAAAATAACAAAAATCCATTACTTTTCATTAAACCAAAAAACATCAAGCCTGTCTACAAAATATTTAAAGCCACCGGTAATATTAAAAAAGTTCTCATCCATTCAATACGATAACGTCACAAGGAAAAAAAACTAAACCACTAAATTCAAAAAGAAACAATCATCTTTTGTAAAATAAGAACATAACCATCGATTTTGAACATATATTAGCTCCCTTCGTCTGTACAAAATCTTGATGGCAACAATTGATCCTTTAATAACATTCTGTAAAAAAAAAAAAAAAAAAAAAAAAAAAAAAGGACAAAAAAATCAAGTTTATAATATTTAATTGTGTACATAACGAAAATATTAACAAACCTTAAAAAAGTAGGGGGAAAGGAAAAAGTGAAGGAGAGGAATGAGTGATCCAAAATATCTGGCATGGCCATTACAAAAATATATTCTTACTAAGCTTGCTTTACAACAGTGAGTGATAAAAAATCATACATTTAAATGATCCAATAGAACACACTACACCATTTAAAAGATTTCGTCATCCGCAAGGACTTCGTCATCTTTGTTTCTTTATCATGATCCGTACCTGCTCCATGAACAAAGAAAAATAAAATTAATAAACAAATGAGCCCAAGGTTTTCTTATTAGCTATTCGTCACAATTGATCAAATTTATTATCTTTTCTGACCCAAAAAGAAATAAGAAAAAAGATTGAATCTCGAGTGAGATTAGTTACAAATCTATTTTACTTGAGCCTCTTTGGATCATTAGACAAATAAAAATAAATAAATAACCTACCAAGAGAAGTGTGATTTGTGGATAGAATGGGACTGCCATTTCTGTTTCTTTATCTAGATCAATACCTGCTCAATGGACAAAGAAAAATAAATTAATAGCTCATAGGTTTTTATCAAATAAAATTGGGTAAATTACACTGACCTCCCTTGAGGTTTCGTCAACATACACAGACTTCCCCTTTTATTTGTCAAATTACACTGACCTCCACTCTTAGATCCGTTAAATAGATGGCATTAATAGTTTTAGTGAAATTACAATTTTATTCTCACTATATTTATTTTATTTTATTGCAAAATGATGAATTTTGTTTGCCTTGTCGGATCCATCGCTGTTGCCGCCAAAGGTCTCTTCGACGGCAAATTCGTCGGGATCTGTAAACAGAAAGAATGTGCGATTAGGTGGTAATAATTGAATAGCAAGATTGGTGGCGGTTGTGGTGGTTTGCTGGTGGAATTGATGGAGAGGTTTCTGTAACTACCCATCATCACTGCTCTCTCACCTTAACATTAAGTTTCTCTCTCTATCTTTATAATTTTGCTTCTGGGTTGTCTACTATTGTAAAACACGGAAGCTAAATTGGAGTGTTAAAACAACAAGTAACTGTGTGTTTGCCTGTGTGAAGAAGTCAGGGTGGAATCAAAGAAGACCCGTATAGAGATATAAGATATTAGATTTAGAGAGAGAAAAAAAGATAGAGAGAAATAAATGGGTCTATGTTGCAATATTGGGTGGTCTCATTGTCTGATTTGGAGAATTGATCAGAGTAATTCCTTTTAACCTTTGCTCTTCCTCTCTCAAAATTTTGTTCCAATACATGATTTTTCCTTTTTCGATCTTGTATGGTCTTATAAGATTTTGTTATGAACATTAACTTTCAAGCAAAGGAGGTGACTAAACTGGTGTCGCATTTTGATAAATAATGGAAGTTTAGTTATGAGAGAGAGGTTTGTATGATCACTTTTTCTGGTGGAGCAGGCAGCTAGTTTTTTTGTAGAGCTGCTGAATTGTAGTATTTAAGTGAAGATGTCCTTTTTAGTCATCATGATCCCTATCATGCATCTTTCGAATAGAGTTTAGTTACAGAGTGCCAAACAGGGTGAAGGCAATGGTAATGATAAAAATAATAATTGGAGGGTATTTTGGTAAATTTATTTGAGTAAATAAGGTCAAATATGTCTTCACAACAAATAGAAGGGTACTTTAAGAACTTTATAGGATAAAATTTGCTTACATCAGCAATAGTAAACATTGACTGGCCGACTATTAGCGGCTGTTTAACGGAAGGGAACAATGTGTTATAGAGATACAAACTTCAAGGGAGGTCTGTAAAATTTGGTAAACGAGAGGGGAGGTCAATGTATATTGACAAAATTACAGGGGAGGTCAGTATAATTTACTCAATAAAATTTAAGGCAACTGATGAATTTATAATCTTTTTTTCTCTGCAGAGAAGAAAAAAAAAAAAAAAAAGGTTGAATCTTGACTATATTATTAACAAATCTATTTACTTGACCTTTTTTGATAAATTCCCTACAAGACATAAATGATTTGCGGTTGATTCTTTGTTATCAAAAAGTAAATAGATAAAAGATATAATATGCATAAATTGAAAAAAGAGATTCTGTTTTGGAAGTACTTAATTTTATTCATTACTTTTTGCAAGATTATTACTGCAATGGAAGTGTCAGAAAGATCAATCAATGACAATTACATAATCAATGCTTTTATCAAAAAGTAAAAATTTACCCTTGAAGCTTCTGAAACCACATTGTTCAAACCAACAAAAATATGTATATGTATATATATAAATATATTAAATTATAAAAATATACACAGGGAATATTTATGCAAAATATTTAAAAAAAATTATGTGGCACCACTTCATTTTATGATTACGAATGTACTACCCCTAAAACAACCTGGGAAGCAAGTGGTACCTTAATTCAAGCATTCACCCGCATGTTTCACAAACAGAGGCAAAAAGATGAGAAGAGTTTACCGCGGGAACAAGTCTCTGTCAGAAGTATGGGATCATGTGGATGTTCAAGCTGCTGATGATTGGGCGTAGCAGCTCATAGATAGAGAAAGGACTATGCTATGGATTTATGATCCTGTGACCTCATCTCAATTTCGGATCTACAACCAACCCTTCGCTAAAGAATAGGATTACAAGACTGTTTCGGAACGTAATGATAAAATAAAAACTAAAAAACGTTTGAAAAAAAAAAAAAAAAAAAAAAAAAAAAAAAAAAAACTAAAGTTTAAAAACGTTTTGATACTGATATTCATTCTCAAACTAAAAACTAAAAACGTTAGGCAGAAAAATAAATAAATAAAGTAAAAAATAAAAAACGCTTGAAAAAAAAAAAAAAAGACGTTTCGATTCTCATATTGGATTCTAATAATTAAAAAAAATAATAATAATAAAAAATAAAAACATTTAGAATAAAAAGAAGTGGAGGAAATGATATTTTGTTTGAGAGGTCGCATGCCAATTTGATGGGAATTGAAAATTTAAAACAACGTATTGGTAAATAAAATATATTTACCTAGTGGAAGCCCAGAAGGAGGTGATCACCATGATCCTTTGTCCACTTTCATATTCTTCAGATGGCAATTTCATGTCTTCATTTTTTTCTCCGATGGTGTATATTAGGGCTCTACCGAAAAGGGCTGAAATTTACAAAGGGAGAGAAATTAAGGTTTACAAAGAGTGTATATTTATCTAGAGAAAGTACTATTGGAAAGTAATTGCATCAAGATATGTAGCTTTTGGACTTGAACCTTCCCTAGTGTATTGCTATCGAATTTACTGGCAAACCAGTGAACATGATGTCTTGAACTGTTCAGTCGTTGATGTAAACTAAGACAATAGCAAACACACAATTCCTTCTCGCACAAAGTCAGTTCTCATGGTTGTGTTCATATAGCCCTGAACAACTCCTGGTATTTCATAAGTGCTATAAAAAACTTAGCCTTAGAAGTTCTCATAGAAGCGGCCCCACTTCACACTCATATAGGTGACTTCTTATTAAAAGCATCCTACTATACCCCACTTGAAATTTTAAGGTGTAAGAGTCATTAAAAACATAGCTTATCCTACTCATCACTGTAGGTAGCACTATCTCATCATAGTAATGGGTAAAAGATTAAATCTTCCTAGTACTTCTGGTGAGCCATTCAGAATTTCTCTTGTCCCTTTGAACTTAGATCTTGGAATCTCCGTCAACTAGGTTGGGTTTCCATTAAAATAACTTGTTAGCTTTCGGCTTTAAACCAATTCCTCTCGATGAACTATACAGTTGCTCTTTTATCAAACCTTTTGTAAATAGATCCGCTAAATTATCTTTTGACCTGATATAATCTATTGAGATTATCCCACTTGAGAGCAATTGCATAATAGTATTATGTCGCCGACGTATATGTCGAGACTTACCGTTATACATATTACTTTTTGCCCATCCAATTGCTGATTGACTATCACAATGTATACATATAGCAGGCACAGGTTTAGGCCAATTTGAAATATCTTCTAAAAAATTACGAAGTCACTCAACTTCTTTAACAGCTTTATCTAAATTAATAAATTCAGATTCTATAGTGGATCTGGCAATACAAGTCTGTTTTGAAGATTTCTAAGATATGGTACCTCTTCCAATAGTAAAGACATAGCCACTTATGGATTTAGAATCCTTCGTATTAGATATCCAATTAGCATCACTGTAACCTTCAAGTACTGCTGGATATCTAGAATAATGTAATCCATAACTTAGGGTATATCTTAAATACCTTAGAACCCTGATTATTGCAGTCCAATGGTTCTTTCCTGGATTACTTGTATATCTACTCAATTTATTAACTAAGTATGATATATTTGGTCGTGTGTAATTCATCAAATACATTAAGCTTCCTATAATGCGAGAGTACTCAAGTTGTGATATGCTAGGACTAGTATTTTTCGATAAATGAAGATTTACATCAATAGGAGTCTTTACAATACTACTATCTTTTTTATTAAAATTTTCTAATATTTTCTCAATATAGTGAGATTGAGATAATATTAGACCATCTGATGTTCTAGAAATCTTGATCCTAGTATGACATTAGCTATGCCTAAATCTTTCATATCGAAATTTTTGGTTAACATCTTTTTAGTAGTTTTGATTATAACATCATTACTACCCATTATTAACATATCATCCACGTATAGGCATACAATAACATATCCATTTTAACTGTTTTTCACATAAACATATTTATCACACTCATTGATTTTAAAACCATTTGACAACATCACTTTGTCAAATTTTTCATGCCATTGTTTAGGTGCTTGTTTCAATTCATATAAGGATTTTACAAGCTTGCACACATTCTTTTCTTTTCCTGGAGCTATAAAACTTTTAGGTTGCTCCATATAGATTTCCTCCTCTAACTCACCATTCAAGAATTCAGCTTAACATCCATGTGATGTATTTCTAAATTTTGCAATGCCGCAATAGCTAGTAACAATCTAACGGATGTTATTATTGTGACTGGTGAGTATGTATCAAAATAATCCAAGTCTTCTTTTTACCTGCATCCCTTAGTAACAAACCTAGCTTTATATTTATCTATTGAACCATCAGGCTTCATCTTCCTCTTGAAAATCCACATATACCCTAAAGGTTTAGTATCAGGAGGAAGATCCACCAGCGCCCAAGTATGATTTTGCATGACAGATTCAATTTCACTATTTATGGCTTCTTTCCATAAAGGAGCTTCAGGAGAAGACATAGCTTCCTTATAGCTTTGTGGCTCATTTTCCAATATATATGTCAGAAAATTAGGACCAAATGACTTAGACGTTCTAGCTATTTTGCTACGTCTAGGTTCTTCCTTACTTTCATCATTTATAGACTCTTGGTCTATATTCTCTTGTATATTGCTATTAGCAATATCATGATTTCTTTTAAGAGAATTTTGTAATGACCCACTCCACCACATGGTATGATATTATCCGCTTTGGGCCTGAGCCCGCACGGTTTTGCTCTTGGGTTTTACCCCAAAAGGCCTCATACCAATTGGAGTGACACACCTACATATAAGTACTTCACATTTCCCTTTCCCAGGCAATGTGAGATTGTACACTCGTAGCTCGCCAGTGTGGTAGCCTGTCAGTATCTCTCACTTGCCTACAGGGTCATCACAATCCACCCCCCTTGGAGGCCCGATGTCCCCGTCGGCACACTTCCGGCTGGGTCAAGCTCTAATACCATTTGTAATGACCCATTCCACCACATGGTATGATATTGTCCGCTTTAGGCTTGAGCCTGCACGGTTTTGCTCTTGGGCTTTACCCCAAAAGGCCTCATACCAATTAGATTGACACACCTACATATAAGCACTTCACTTTTCCCTTTCCTAGGCGATGTAGGATTGTGCATTGACAGGTTACCACACTGGCGAGCTACGGGTGCACAATCACACATCGCCTGGGAAAGGGAAAGGTGAAGTGCTTATATGTAAGTGTGTCACTCTAATTAGTATAAGACCTTTTGGGGTAAAGCCTTTGAGCAAAACCGTGCGGGCTCAGGCCTAAAGTGGACAATATCATACCATATGGTGGAATGGGTCGTTACAGATGTTTACAAGGAAATATATCCTCAAAGAAACAAGCATTCCTTGACTCAATAATTGTATTGACATGGATGTTAGGAATGTTTTATTTATGCACAAGGAAATGATATGGACTACTATTTTATGCATAGCCTATGAAAATACCATCAAAGGTTTTTGGTCCTATTTTAACTTTCTTAGTAGTAAGAACCGCAACCTTAGCTGGACACCCCCACACTTTTAAGAATTTATAGGAAGGTTTTTGACCATTCCATAATTCATAAGGTGTCACATTTGTTTTCATTTGAGGTATTTTGTTGAGAACATAATTAACAGAAAGCAAAGTTTGCCCCCCACAAATTTTAGGTTAAACCAGAACTTATCAGCATAGTATTCATCATTTCTTTTAAGGTACGATTTTTGCGTTCAGAACACCGTTCTGTTGAGGTGAATAAGGAACGGTAGTTTGGTGAATAATACCATGTTCTGAGCAAATATCAGTGATGGTGCTTCGTATTCACCACCTCAATCACTTCTAAACACCTTTATTTTTTTGCCAAGTTGATTCTCAACCTCATTCTTGTAATGTTTAAACATTTCTAAGGCTTCTCTTTGCTTCTTAACAAGTATACATAATAATATCTTGTGCAATCATCAATAAAAGTAATAAAGTACTTTTTCCCACCTCTGGTTGGCATAGATTTGAATTCACAGATATCATTGTGAATTAATGCTAGAGGTTCAGTACTTCGCTCTATAGAGTGAAATAAAGTTCTAGCCAATTTTGCTTCTACACATGTTTCACATTTTTTCTTTAAATCAATACTAAATTTAGGTATAGAATCCATGTTAATTAATCTATAAATCGTATCATAATTAACATGTCTTAACCTACCATGCCACACATCAGATGACTCAATCATATAAGCGGAAAAAACATTAGCTTTATTATTATTATTAATAGCTTTGGGTACAATTGTCATTACATTGAACTTGAATAGTCCATTACTTAGATACCTTTTGCCCACATACACCCTATTCTTAGTCAGCACAAACTTATCCGATACAAAAACCAACTTGAACCCAATCTTACTTAGGAGTGATCAGGAAACCAAGTTCTTCTTGATGTCTGGTACATGCAGCACATTATTTAGAGTGAGCTCTTTCCTCGAGGTCATTAGTAGCTTAATTTTTTCTTATTCTTCAATCTTTGCAGTAGAAGAGTTCCCTATGTAGAGTTGTTCTTCATTATCTATAACTGTATAGGTAGTGAACATCCTCTTTTCTGAGCAAATATGACGAGTAGCTCCTATGTCCACCCACCATTCTCTATTGTTGCTAACAAGGTTGATTTTAGAAACCACAGCTAAAAGATTTAGCTCCGACACATCAGCTATCAGCTTATCTTCCTCAGCAATGTGCACTTCAGTGGTCTTTTTCATGGAGTTCTGTTGTGTTTTGCGGCTACGACAGTCTTTAGCTCGGTGTCCTAACTTGCCGCATATGAAGCACTCCCCAGTGAACCTCTTGTAGTTTCCTTGGCTGGGACCTTCTCTAGAGTGCTGCTTCTTCTTATTTTTTTGTCCAGCTTCCACTATGTTTGCCTTTGACACCATTAAAGAATTCCCGGCTTTCTTTTCAGATGTGCGGTTATCTTCTTCAATTCTTAACTTAACAATTAGGTCTTCGGTCCCCATTTCCTTGTGCTTATGCTTCAAGTAGATTTTGATCTTTCCTAGTAGGTGGTAGTAGCTTTTCAATGATTGAAGCTACTCTAAAGGATTCACCCAAAGTCATATTCTCAGCATGTATCTCATATAGGATTAGCTGGAGCTCCTACACTTGGCTCATGGCTGTCTTGGAGTCTATCATTTTGAAGTCCAAAAATCGTCCGACTACGAACTTCTTCAAGCCATCATCCTCTGTGTTATACTTCTTGTCTAGTGACTCTTAGAGCTCTTTAACAGTATTTATTGGACTATACACATTATATAAAGTGTTGTCCAATCCATTGAGGATGTAGTTCTTGCATATGAAGTCTCCATACTTCCATGCATTAACAGCTCCTAGCTTGGTAATGTTAGTCTCACCCTCATTTGGTACTGGGGCAGTCTCAGTTAGATACTTGCTTAGATTTAGAGTTGTAAAGTATAATATCATTTTCTGTTGCCACCTTTTAAACTCTGCCATATTAAATTTTCCAGGCTTCTCCCCATGACTGACGGAAACATTAGGCATAATAGTACTTATACTTGCCATTCGTCTGATAAATATTAAATATACAGACCACAGTCAAATTTACAAAAATAAAATAACAACAACAATATTTAAATAATTAAACTATAGTATAAGCAGAATCTATCTTAAGATTGTTGTCCAAAATATGGTCTAACTATACCATATATTATAATATTTTTTATTTAAATATTACGTAAGAATATAATATTTTTATATATTATTATTATTATAAAATAATAATCTATATATATATATATGTAATTTCTTATAATATAGAGTTTAATATAATATATAGTTTCTATGTCCTTAAGACAGATTCGCCCAACTATGGTGCTAATGGACTCAGTGGCTTCTATCTCTCAAGATACAACTACTTGTCTTCCTTCGGTAGTAGAACTGTAAACCAAAGGAATAGGCAAACTAGCTCGGTGTAGTACTCTCTGACTCGAACTCGGACTCAAACTCACTGACTAAGGCTCTAACCCACAGACTAGGGCTCAAACCAATAGACTAGAAGAAGAGAGGATGAGAGAATTCAGAATTAGAGAAGAGGATTCTGAATTGGTGTGATTTGCATATGATCAAAGGGGGGTATTTATAGGTAGTAAGGTGCCTTTTCAGGTGTATGCAACCTGATGGTTCAGAAAAAAGGTGCAATCCTTTGGAAAAAAAACTAAAAGGTGGTTTTAATTTAAATTCAAAAAACTAATTTTTAATTTAAATTCAAATACCAAACACCCATTTGTGAAACCCATTTAAATAAGCCCAACCTAAAAGCAGGCCCAATCTAAAATTCCATTTAGTAAAAAGAATAACCGAACTTTACAATTAGGCCCAGCCTAGGCCCATGCCCAAGCCCATGCCCAAATGGCTTATTTAAACTTCAATTGATTTTAACATTTTTTCCATGTGGGACAAATACTTCCCACATTTTGCATACACATTTAGGCTTAACTAATTTCTCATTCACCCGAAAACGGATTTGAGAAAGTAAATATACCACGTTCATCTTCTTGCAAAGAGAAACGCACTTGTCTATAGATCTGTAAAAGATTCTTAGCGAAATTTATTTCAAATCTCATCCAAAGTTTATGTTTTTAATGCCCCCATTTCCAACACACCCATGGCATCCCTCCCCCGCCCCCGCCAATTGTTCACTTCCCTATAGATGCAAAGCAAACCCAATTAGTTAAGCAATAAAAGGACAGCTTCATGGCACGCTATGGACTAAGTATTGCTGCATGAGTTCTCCCATCAGCAAGTCTAATCCTCTATAAATAGAGGCCATCTTTTAACAGATAAAAAACGCCTCTTATGGCTTTGTTCCAAGCTATCACATCTTGTGTGATGATCCTGTGGGCGGGTGCGAGACACTGACAGGCTACCACACTGACGAGTTACGGGTGCACAATCCCACATCGCCTCAGAAAGGGAAAGGTGAAGTGCTTATATATAGGTGTGTCACTCCAATTGGTATGAGGCCTTTTAGGGTAAAGTCTAAGAGTAAAACCGTGTGAGCTCAGGCCTAAAGCGGACAATATCAGACCATGTGGTGGAGTGGGTCGTTACAAATGTTATCAGAGCCTAACCCAGCCGGAAGTGTACCGATGGGGACGTCAGGCCTCCAAGGGAGGGAGGATTGTGATGACCCGATGGGTGAGTGTGCCGTGGGCGGGTGTGAGACACTGACAGGCTACCACACTGGCGAGCTACGGGTGCACAATCCCACATCGCCTTAGAAATAGAAAGGTAAAGTGCTTATATGTAGGTGTGTCACTCTAATTGATATGAGACCTTTTGGGGTAAAGTTCAAGAGTAAAATCGTGCGGGCTCAGGCCTAAAGCGGATAATATCATACCATGTGACAGTGTGGGTTGTTACATCTTGTTATTTTTATGTTTTTTTAAGTTAATTGTATTTTAAATACTTCCATGAAGCTTTCAAGTCTATGGCTTTTCAACTCTTCAGTTTCGTCTCCATTTACTTCCATGAACTTAATTTACTTTCCATGCACCGTCTTTAATTTCTCCGTCCACTATCTAAATAGACTACAGTAACTCACCCTCCAGCACTTCTGGGCCAACCAATAAATGACCGAACAGAAGCGGGAAGGCTGTCCGTCAGCCAAAAAGGATGAAAGCCTCCTAAGCCTGTGCCCAACAAAAGGGGCACAATGCTCGGCCACAAAGGCCGAGCCAGGATCCGAGCAGCAGGCCACGTAATGATTGATCACCAAATCACTCTTAAAAATATTTTAAATCACTCTTAAAAATATTTTAAATACAAACAAACTGATTAATTATGTGATTCCAGCTCGATGTAAATTCGATCCCACATGCACTAATCGATCACCAAATCACTCTTTAGAAATACTAAATACAGTATATCATTGTGTTTGTCAGCATCCTATAAATTGATTCTCCTATTTTAATTAAGACCATTCCTTGCCTCATTGCCCAACAAGAATTCAAAGTCTCCAAAACCCACCCAGGGACTAGCAGATAACCCAAGTCCCATTCAAGCAATTATTAACCTAACCCACCACATGAAAATTAAAGTCTAAATTAAGTTGTTTTTAAGTATATAATTTTGAAAGACCTTCTGAAATTGGTATAGATCTGGATCGAGTTTTGTTTGTCAACGGCATGGTTTTCAAACATCACAAATAAAAGGACCGCTCAGTCTCAGTAGCTTTGCCAGTTCACTTTAAAGAAAAAGTGAGAGGATGAGATTCAAGAAGATTTGTCTGTCTGAGGTTAATGGGTTTGTGTGTTTTATTGCGACATATCTTTGTTTGGTGCAAGGCAACATCCATTACCATGACTTTATTGTAAGTATACAGCTAACATTGTGCATTACTGGTTGAATTTCCTTTCGTATTGTGAATCCAATCCTGTTCGTCTAGTGCATAAAAAATAAAATAAAAAAAAAAAAAGAAAAGAAAAGAAAAGGTGTTATTTTGGTGCATCCAACGCAGGACTTGCATTAGGCTAGGTGCCCGTGTACCAAAAGTTTTTGTGCACAAGACTTGGACAGGAGGGGATGGTCTTCCATGCATTACGTTCATATTTTTAACTGTCTTCCAAGATTTAAATTCTCTAGAGACTTGAAATCTCCACTTCCATATTTCATTGCAGCTGAGAGAAGCTAATTTTACAAGGTTATGTAGCACGAAGAGCATGTTAATAGTGAATGACAGTTACCCAGGACCAGTGATTCATGTTCATAGAGGAGACATGGCGTTTGTTAACGTTCACAATCAAGGAAATTATGGTGTCACTATTCATTGGTATTTTTTCTCTCTCAAACTCGTAAAACTTAAACAAAAAATCCCTTCTTGGATAGTTGATTTCAATTCTTTATATAATTAATTATATGCTAGTGCAAACACGCCAATAAACTTAGAATCCACCAAGTTTAGAGGAGACAACGATATTCTTATTAGCAAGAATAACTGATCTTTATAAATCACGAAAGCCTAAAAAAAAAACAAACAAAAAAACAAACCTAATAGAGAATAATCTTTATAAATCACGAAAAAATAGGGAAAAGGTCAAAATAGCTGAACTAAAGAACCAGCCAAAACCGGCCAACCTACACCCTTGATCTAGATGGCAATTCGATTCCATTAATTTATTTTTTGTTTAATGATTTTACTATTTGCATTTTTATAATAATAATAATATTAATAATAAAATCAGATTGTTTTCTGCTGTGTTCGGTAGGAAGAAAAGAAGAGGTGTGGAGAAAAAAAAAAAAAAAGGGAAGAAAGGGACAAATTTCCTTTGTTCGTTAGAGATGATATAAGGAAAGAAATGAAAATAGAAAAGATTCTTTACAAATTTTCATCTGCTCAAAAATGGTATCTGGTATGTTCGTTATTAGGTGTGATCAATAGAGATCATTAGTATTGTGTAGTCACTTTCCATATTAAACTGGCCGAGGGGAGATATTTCCGCGAATAATATTGTGGAAATACCAAGGGAAGTTTATTTCCATTGGGGTCGTCACTAGTTAGATGACAAGGTCGTTTATTCGTTATAGTAAATACATGCAGCAAAAAGGAGTCCAAGATAATATGGACAATTGAGTCTTTACTCAAATTGTCTCCCATAGAAGAAGTAATGTTGATTAGAAAGGAAAGGAGGTTATCACATCACTATGTTACGATTTATGTTTCATTTATTAAGTAATATATAGCCTATTGTTAGCAAGGATATAAATATGTATTTTGCACCAAGTGTGTAAAGGAGTTTTTATGTGTTTGTAAGAAATTACATCAATGGGATATTTTTTCAACGCATATAAGTTGGCGAGGTTAGGTTGCAAATAAATACAATGAGCATAGATTAACTCAATACATTCTTAATAAATTACGAGATATGCTTGCTAATTATGAATATATGTGGATGTGTTAATTTCCACACAAATAAAGGGAACAATGAAATTTGAAATTAAATAATCAAAGTTTTTATTTCATGGATTCGTGAATTCCGAGGACGGAATTCCTTTTGTTAGGGGGGAAGAATTTAATACCCCGATATTTTAAAGGATTTATTAATTAGGATTAATAACTTTTATTTTATTTTAAAATGATTTGTTTTATTTAATTGAGTGCTTAGATTAATTGTCTTATTCTAATTAGATTTTTTATTTTGTGATTATATTTGTTGAATTGATATGATGATTGATGTGTGTGTATTTGATTATTGATTGAATTATTGGTGTGTTGATTTTATTAGTATGGTGTGATTTGATTGTAATTTCTTGTTTTGTTTACGTGCTTAATGTAATTAGTTATTTTAATTTAAGTGTTTATTTAATTATTTAATTTATTTAAATTAATTAGATTTGGGCTTAAGGGAGGTTGGACCAAAGGATGTGGTCTTAGGCTTGTATGAAGCCTTGTTGGGTTAATTAATAAAGGCCTATGGTTATGTGATTATTTAAATGATCAATTTTGGATAATTATAAATATATATAATTATATATATATAAATATAATTAATTAATAAAGTGTTGTGTAAGGATATATATATATATATATATATATATATATATATATATATATATATAATTTAAGGATAATTATTATTTCTTTTATTTGGTAGTCATACTAGGAATAAGATCAGTTTATTTATGTATATAAATATACACATAAGGTTTTATAATTAAAAATTTTACACGTTAGAAAAATAAGAGAGACAAATGAGAAGAATAAGAGAAGGTTGACAAAGAGGAGACCCGATTAAAGAAAGTGGATGTCGGGATTGGAAGAGTCTTGAAACGTCGGTTTTGTTTTGAAACTTTCAGGAGAGTTCTTTTCTAACTTTCCTCTTAGAACTCATAAGGATTTCACCTTGAGTATCAATGTTTAGATTAATTTTATTTGATTAAATCAGGATTAAATGGGAGTATTAAAAATATGATTTATTATTAATTTTATTTTTGGAATTATTGAATTTTAATTATATATATAGGTTGTATATATTTAAAATCAACTGTATGCTTGATCTGTGACCCAAGAGGGTTATTTAGGGTTTATAGAAATTTTGAGAATTTTTTGTAATTTTTTTAGAATTTTCTGGTATATTTTTTTATTTTATTTTATATTTTTAGGAATTTATTATATTTTATTTTCCTATAATTGTTGAAAAATTATATATAAATATATACTGTTTATATATATATGCACGTATCAGCGCATTAGACAAGGGGGTGAATAATCCAGTGTAGTACGAGTATAGTATATAGGTGTGTGTGTAAATCTGGGACGCTGGTGCATTGAGATGATGACTGAAAACGATCCGGTGTGATGCGGCACATACCATTACGGTACGCATGAAATCTGGGCCTCTGATAGGTCTTGATTAATGAGCAGTTGATCTGGTGTGGGTGTATACATGTGACCTCAGGTGAGATAATTAGGTGTGGGTGCATACATGTGAGCTCAAGTGAGCTAATCTGGTGTGGGTGCATTCGTGTGAGCTCAGTGCTATAATTTGGTGTGGGCGAGCTCACAGGAGCTGAAAGACTCCAGCCAATTAGAACACGCAAGCACACACAGAGCTTAAATCAAACGCGTGCAAGTGCATGGTAAGTGCATGGGCACGCGTGGGAATCCCTATTGGCCTGTTTTGACATTTGAAATTGAAACGGTCATAACCTAGTCATCTTAAATCGAAATTGTGTCATTCTTGAGCTCAAATTTAAGGATTTTTCATCCTCTTTTCAATGGTACCAATTTCATTATCAGATTCCCATCCTACTAGCAGGTATTTATGTTTTAGTAAGACGGTATCGAAAATTATTTAAACCGAGATTTAGTATTTATGAAAAAAACATTTATGACGATATTTAGTAGCATTTAATTTGCATAAATATAATTAAATTACTATATTGGTGATGGAAGGAGGTATATATATTTACATATTTATTTATATATGTGTATATTTGGTTTAATTAATTTATTAGTTGTATGGATGGACGTGTATATATATATATAATTATTAATATATATGTATATATGGTTTTAAATAACGAATTTGATAAGAGTTATATTTGATTTGATAATCTGATGAATTATTTATGATTGAATCTATGTTTGATTTGTTATTAATTAAATATGGGATGTGATAATCCGGTCTGAAAAGGATAAACTCTTTGTTAAAAAAATTAATGTTAAAAGAAATTAACAAACAATATTTAAAGAAAAAAAAAGAGAAGTTGGAGAAGAAAAATAAATATAAAAATAATAATAATAATAAATAAGGAAAAAAAAATATTAAACGCAGAAAACACCCTGCATTACATATAGTTATAACACCTCTTTCGTACCAATTTAATATTTCAGTAAGTAGTGATATTTAGACACAATCTTATTGTGGATTGAATGAATGACTAATAGTTTTGATTGGTACCATATGCAATATATAAAGAAATAGGACCTTTCACTTTCTTGCATTATATAATGCAAACATAACCAATCAAAACTTTTATTCACTAACCCTTCCTCTTAAACTCTTTTTCCAACGTCTGAAAGTTAGTTGTGACTTAGAGTCTCAGAGGTTCCAATCAAAACTTTTATTCACTAACCCTTCCTCTTAAACTCTTTTTCCAACGTCTGAAAGTTAGTTGTGACTTAGAGTCTCAGAGGTTCCATTAGAAAATTGTCAGAAAAAAAAAAAAAAAAAAAAAAAAAAAAAAACCCTAAAGTAGTGTGGCACGTTACTTTTCTCTCTAGCCCGCTTCATCTTTCCCTATGCAAGCACCACCTTTCCGGGATAAATTACACAGTACTGTCTTGAGATTTGGATTAATTGCTTACGATAAAACGTTTGATCATTATTATTTTGACCTCTTCTAAAATTATGAAATTTCTTTCGTACATTTATCTAATTTAATAATAGTTTAATTAAAAAATTGTAAAACTAAAAGACAATTACTCATTTATTTATTTATTTTCCATCCATCTTGTAAACACTATATTAACCTGCCTAATTTTTTTATTTAAAAAAAAAAAAAGAAATCCAATCAAACCCTAAAAAGAAACCTAATCAAATGTCAAAATAAAAATTATTTTTATAATATTTAATAATATAAAATTGGTGAGAAAATTGATACTTTGCAATTTAATGGCATTTCATGTCAAAATATAACGTTGAACTCTTTTAACGTAAGAAAATGACAACTTAGTCGTTTTTGAATTTTCATTAACAACAGGAGGTGTCGTTGAGTACACGCACCAAAAAAGTTTAAAATAATAATGGCCAAAGGCTCCACTTGTGTAATTTGTCTAAACCTCAGGGAGGTCACTGTAATTTACTTTTATTTTATTTTATTTTATTTTAATTATTATTTTTTTGAGTCAAAACAAGCCGACCAGAAAGGATGATAGAGAATAGGGTCAAGTGCAGAAAACAATACTTTGCGTAGCACTTTCACCCCTATTTGAAAAAGTGTGCTAAAAATACCCCTATTATTTTAAAATTGTGTGAAAACACCCCTAAATAAAAAAATAAAGTAATGTTGTAAAACCCATTTTGCCCTTTTACTCTTCCGAAAATGCCAATGGCTGTGTATGCTAATAATCTCATAGTGTAGGGTGTTACGTGCACATTAACTATATTTAACCCACTTTAAGGATTTTCTCTCACCTTTTCGGGAAAAAAATTCTCTAACCTTTTCGAAAAATAATATATCTCCACATATTTCGGCTAATAGTGTATTATCTCTCTTAAAAAAAAAAATTTAAATTTGTTGTCATAATTATCAGATTAATGTATAATA